GTGTAGACTCGGGGCGTGACAATAACTCATAACTATCACGATAGTTTAATTTCGCCTTGGGATAACCAATTCGAATATCTTTACGATTATCCAAATAACAAGAACAACGTGTTCTAACAGGTTTAACACATATTGCAAATATTCTTACTACAAATTAAAAGTTGACTTTTTAGGTGACATATGCATGAATGAAATCTTCTAGCCATTAACAGGACAAGTTGTCATTTTCCCATTTGAATGCAATGGCAGGGGAATGTGTTCTTTTCTTTTTTGGTGTTTAACTCAATTCATTCAGAAGTCCGACTAATTTAAATGTATTTTTTTTAAATCACTTTAAGAAATAAAATGTATCTTATCAAATTACTTCATATTTAGTGCTCAAAATCGAAACCTTTGATAGAAACAAAATATTGTGTTCCAATTTGCACAAGGCATATTATAGGAGAACATGGGAATTATTGTCATGGGACGCCAAAAGTGAACTTGTTAACAAATGGATGTTTTCAATATTAGTACATCTGAGATTGCTTAATTGGTTCATTCGAAAAGAATATATATACAACATATTCTATTTGTCATTTCCTTCTCGAAAAATATTTCCAAGCTCTTTTATTTAATTTTTTACTAGCCTTTCGAAGGTAGCAAAGGACAATTTTTATTTTTTAAAATTACCACTTTTTTTCTGAGAGAATCAATTGATGATAAGAAAATGACTCATCATGTGATGTACCGTTTGGAATATTTGATAATAGTTTTCTATCGAGTTAGTCATGATCAAAAATTTATTTCTACAATTTGAAAGGGTGTAGCGGAAAATTTCATAAGGGAGATCAAAAATCGAATCTCATCTGGTCCTTTCTTAGTCGGTTGAGTTTGATGCATGCAAGAGAGTGGTATCACAAAAAGGAGTGCTACGAGATGTCTTTACTTGGTTCCTTTCTTAGTTGAGTTCATTGCACCGGTTTGTGTAATGGCTAATGCAATTTACATTTTCAGTGTCATTTGCGCGATATTTTCTAGAAAAAAAAAAACTAAAAAAACTTACTACTTAATCTTTGTACGGACATCTTGTGAATATTTTTTTTTATCTTCAATCCAAGAAATTTAAATAAAAATATGCCAAAATCTTTTAGAAACTTAAGAAAATCAATCCAGCAGGAATAGATTCCTCCTCCTTCGGAAAATATACTGAAAAAAATATATTTCTAAGGGTACTTGCTTGATGGAATAACTAATTAAGCAGCTCCTTTTTTGTTTTCGATATTCAATATTTATATTAAAGCTCAATTAAATTAAAATTTGTATTAAAAAAAATCTCACATTAAAAGGGTAAAATGTTTTCTAATTAATGTGTTGAGCTCTTTTAGCTGCTTAATCTTATATTATATTAGATTGAAAATTATTTGAGTCTAATTAGCTTTTAAACCATTTGCTTAGCATATTTATTTATTTTCATCTTATACTATGTATTAAAAAGAAAAACTTCATAAACTAAATTAACCATCTAGGCAACATAACAAACTAATCTATATCAACAACAAACTAATAAAATCTCAATGCATAATATATACTTAATTACTACTAATATTAGTTGTGGTACTACTATCAACAACATAATTAATTCTTAAGAATAGAAACATCAAGAATTACATAAGGTAACATAATTAGACCAAAATAATAAGATACAGAGAGCGGCTCATGACTCTTTAAAAGAGTACAAAAAATATCGAGAGAATAATTTCTCCTTAAACAAGACTCTCTAAAGAAGTACATACTTAATAGAGCAATCAGGACAAACACTAAATAAATAAAAAGATGACAAAAAATAATTTAAAAAATTGAAGTATTTTTTTTTCTTCCAAATTTTATAAGTGATATATAATATCCAAAGAGTACTAGTTTAATTTAACCAGTTTTAGAACGAGGAGGTGATCGTTTGCGTGAACGTTTTGCTTGTTGTGCAGAGATTGTTATTTTTCGATACGTTATTATATGTTTCCTATTTACAAACGTCCCTCGTTCTTGCTCTTGGGCTTTTTCGTCTTCATTTTTCACTATTGGGCCTTGTAATAGTACTTGTGCATTTTTTGGTTCATTTTTCATCACTAGATGTTCTTCTCCTTGTCCTTGTGCAATTTCAGATGATTCAGACAAAACTGAATAAAATGTACCCAAAATCAGTTCAACACTTCACAATACTATTACTAGGGTCAATAGTACTAATTAAAAATATTTTTTTCGATCATAATTTTATATTTTCGTATCATAATAATATCCTATTAGTTATATCTTACATTTTAAAAGAATTTATATCTAGCTATGCATAAGTTCAATTGCTAAGAACAGAAATGCAAGACAACGTATTTGAAGGACAAAATTAAAAATCAACGCATTTAAAGGACAACTTGTGCAATTAATAAATACTACTACTATCATAATAATAACTACATCTTATATTATATAGATTTCACTGATAACCCGATTCAGAATAATTTTCAAAAGGTTAAAAAGGTCGAAATATTCCTAATATTTGTAATTTGTATACTAAGATGGAAAATGAAATTAACGATCCGAATCTTAGTTGAATCAGTTATAGGTGTCAATAGATCAATTTCACTAGCAGAACACTTTTTCCAATATGCATAAATAAAGATGACAAATATATCGCATAGGAAAAATGTAAGACAAATCGAATACTTCAAGGGTTAAATGTAAAAAAGAAATAGTATACGAAATTAAATGAAGTAGAACATCATATCAAATTAATTTCTAGAAAAGATTATAATCTTCAATATATATATCCTTTAGAAGGTTTTCCACATGATATGAAGGATTCAAATATAAGTCTAATTTTGCTCTTCATTTCTATGCACCCAACTTTCTTTTTTGTGTGTATTATGAATTATCACAAGGCTCAATTATTTTTCTGTATATATACAAGAGAATAATTGTTGTCATTTATTAGTACTTTTTATTTATTGTATATTTTAATAGAGCATAAGAACAATGTGATTTTGTAAATTAGTACTAATATTCAAGAATCCAAGGAAACTACGTGACAGCGTGTTAGTACTAAAATATTAAAATAAGTACGTCTCTTGAATAAGACAATTGACTATATTGGAATTTTGACTGGAAATGGAATTCCCACCTAATCTTTTTCTCTACTTTACTCGTTGCTAGAGAATTGTCCATTTTAATATTAAAATGGGGAACAAAAACGAAAGTTGGTCTTAGTGATTCGACAGTTTTCATGTGAAAAGATAGTTGAACAAAAGTTATTTTAGAAATAATAGATTGATCTTTCTAAAGGCGCACTTTCTGTTTGTCCTTTTTTTACTCTATCGATGATACATCTGAAATGACTATAGTTGAGAGAAAACACACACACACACACACACACACACACATATATATATATATATATATAATATTCTTTTGCAGATTTCCTGTCAAGGAATGTCCAATATGGACGATCGAATGCAGATCCTAATAAATAGAGTATTTGAAAAATGCAATTGGTGTCAGATTCAATCGATGACAAAAGCCAAAAATTATTCAACATTAAAAATGATCTAATGAGCTTGTCCGAACAAGCAAGAAAAATGCAATATGAAATTAATCAGCTAAGCAATGATCAAGTTGAAAACATGAATGAATTTCTTTTATTATGTGAACATTTGGACACATGTCCAAAGAGGAATTCCAATCCTCAGGGGAATATTAATCCCAAAAAAGTGACAGGAGATGTCCCACTAGCACCTAGTGCCGAAAACATCTCATCGGTAAGCATGGATATGCCGAAACATATATATATATATATATATATAAATAGATAGATTTATCACACAAATAGCTTGAATGTCACCTGGCATATTAATTCACACCCAATCTAATTTTCCCTTGGAATCATTAGGAGAACTCAATTAAAAGGAAGTTTTGAGGTTTATAACTCAATTTTCTTTTTGACTTTTATATTTTTGTATTATTTTATTGTTATAGTATATATAGATTACAAATTATGTGATGATCATAGTATTTAGTTCTCTAATTTATGTTTTCTTTATTTTTATCAATTAGTGGCTATAAAGACAAGAAGATAGTGGCTATTATTTCTTTCACATGTTCTTTATTTTTTATTTCTTTTATGTATCCATTCACCTATTAACTGCCCCAACTATGATTAAAGAATGACCAGGACAAATACTTGACCAAGCAAATAAGAAACACTAATTACAGGTTGTTTGGGTGGTTAATTATTTTCGATATATTTGGTTGTGATAGTAGGTTAAATATAATGTTTATTTTGATTTAGATATATAATATTAAAAAAGTTGCATTTTATCTAACGATCGATTTGGAGTAATTCGGGCATTACCTTATATTTTTCCCTTCATTTTGACTCTATTTATGATTGTTAATAGTATTTTGTCCTTTACCGTACTTTTTACGATAGTTCTATATTGTACTTTACTACAACAAATAAAGGACTTAGCAGCAACAAATAAGAAGTTGTTTTGTGTGAGGTATAAAGTATAATAATCTCAGAATAAAATGCATGATTATTTTATCTTGTGTTTGGTTGGAAGTATTAGGTAATCCTTAGATTATTTATCCCACCAGCTATACCTTAGTGATGAGATCTCATATACATGGTGGAATTAATAATAACTTATTTTGGAATAACTTATTTGAGGATAATTAATTCTGAGATAGCTTGTTCCCAACTAGACTATCCCTACTTGTCGCTATAATATATTCAGTGACAATAATAATAAATATGTATATTTATAATCAACACTGTATAAATATCGCTAAAGGCTTTAGTGACTCAACTCAACTGCCACTAAATATTTTTGTAGCAACAAATAGGAAAATTTATTGCCACTAGTCCTTATATGTTTATCCTTCAAATTGTGGATGTATAACATTATGTATAATGACGCCGAGAAACAATACAATATATCAAATTATTGTATATTCATATCAAAACAATACAATACAACATAATAATATAATATATTATGAAATAATACATAACAACAAACGAGTCGACATTGAATTATCACATAAGATCCCTGCTGCCGGTCTTAAAACCAGGAGGTGCTCGTTGGCGTGAACGTTTTGCTTGTTGTGAAGTTGTTCCTATGTTTCTATATGTTGTTATTTTTACTTTAGATTCCATTACAAACACCCTTTCTACTTGTTCTACTTTTGCATTTTCCACCATTTGCCCTAATTGTGCATTTTTTTGTTCATCTTTCACTAGTAATCCTTGTCTTTGTGCATAATCTTTTGGTTTATCTTGATGTTCTTGTTCTTGTCTTTGTCCTTGTGCATCTACTGTGGATTCATCTAGAGAAACTGGTTCTTGGTCTTTGTCATTTCCTGGTTTAGACAAGTTTGAAGAAAGTATATATCAAAATGAGTTTCACAATATAGTACTAGTGTTACTTTGTTAGTGTATACTACCGCCGATCCGACAAAATCAGGAATTTAACGAAAGGTATGTAAAATTAGCTATACATTCATAATAGTTAAAATTTTAATTTCTAAACACCATGTAATTTTCCAACAAAAAAGATATGTATTGGATTATCCTTCGCTCAAGGTGACTCCTCTCATTACTATTATTATTACTTTTCAGTCTCAAACAAATTGAAATAGCTACGTGACACGTCAATTCATGATTATTTTTCTAGAGAGAAAAAGTTTAAAATATAACCCCACCTATCATTTAAGACAAATTAATTCATAATAAGACAGACCTCTGCACCTAACATTTAAGACAATTCAATTCAGAGTAATTGTTCAGGATCATGTGCTTCAAATTATTGCATATATATTTCTTATGTTATTTTTTTTTTTTTATGTATATCTATTTTTTTTTATATTTAACACTCTTTAGTAAATTTTTTGACTCCGTCACTAAACTTCAAGTTCACAGTGACAATTGTCTGAGCTAAGCTAGATACCCATTAGAAAGAGGGACAAATAAGAGAGAAATTAACTTCATCGAGCATTCATGGACTAAATGGTAAATACATGACAAATCAAATACTTCAGAGGTAAATTTAAACGGATTTGGCTCCCCTCTGGTACAAGTATTGAGTTGATTCGATGGAAAATAAATGAACATTAAAAATCATATTTTATAGCATAAATTTTCTACTAATTCGTGATAGAGAAAACTTTATTTCTAATAATGGACACATATCAAAATTATAAGAGCATACTTCAAGAAATGAAGAGATCTTGTATCGGAGGGGAGCCAAATCCAATTTGGATAAACTTTTTCACTCTTCAATATAAGCAATATAAATATTTCTCTTAAGTAAAAGAAGCTTGATTTAGAGAACACTTTTTTCGTTGAAAATTCCTACTTAAGAAAATAGAACATTGAATTAAGTTGTTGAAATTAAAAGATTATAACCTTCAATATGTTCCAACATACCTTTAGAAGGTTTTCCACATGATATAAATGATTCAAATAAAACTCTAATCTTGCTCTTCATTTCTCTGCACTGAACTTAGCTTAAGCTGACTTTATTTTCCTCTGTGTTGTGAATTTTCTCAATAGGACCAATGAGCTTTAATATATAGGAGAATAATTTTGGTCAATTATTAGTTGTACTTTCAACTACTTTCTCTCCATCTCAAATTATCTGTCATAAATTTTTAAAATAATTATTATTTTAGCCGTTCAAGACTATAATACATCAATTATAGGGTAATGACATATAGATAGAATAAATATTTAATTAATAAAAAAATATATTTTAAGATATAAATAAAAAAGATAATTAATATTCAAAAAATATATGTAAACGTGACAGCGTGTTGCTATTAAAATATTCAAATAAGCAAATTTCTTCAGAGTAAGGCAGTCGACTGACTTTGACTGGAAAAGAAGTTCCGTAATCGATTTTTCTATTAATTATTGTTCTTTAATCTAATCGGATCTAATTCACATGATCATATATATATACTACTAGACATCGAAGCCCGTGCTAACACGGGCCCAATATGTATCATTTTTTGTTGCAATTTATGTGACAAAGACAAAATTAAAGAGTTAATTAAATTTTAATATTAATTTAAAATAGTTTAAATTTTTAATTATTGTTAACTATGGTTAAAAATTTTTTGTCTTTTAACATTCTAAATTGCTAATTATTGTTGTATGATTTGTAATATCTTTTACGCAATTTTGAAATAATAAAGGTTATTTCTTCTTTCTCAATTTATGTGGTACTAATAAAATTTTGAGATTCAATCAATTTTTTTTGTCTTTAAAATATTCTATTGACTATTGCTAATTACTATAAATTATTGTACTTTGTAAGTAATTTTTAAATAATATATATTATTTTATTTGTCCAATTTATGTGTCACCGATAAAATTTGAAGAGTTAATCAGATCTTTTACATATTTTTATATCTTTTGAATATTTAAGTAAATAATTGTTGTGATTTATAATATTTTATACAATTATTTTAAAAAAATTAAACAACAAACAAAACGAATTCATCGTAGGAAAATTACCAAAGCATCCTTGAATACATCAATAATGTGTCCCACTTTTTGTTAAAAAAAAATATGCATATTGGGAGGATATTTTTGTCCAGAGTGGAAATAGAATAAGTATAAAACATTAAAGTCTTTTAAAATTTTAAATTGTTAATTCTTATTGTATGATTTGTAATACTTTTACACCATTTTCAAATAATAGAGGTCATTTCTTCTTTCTCAATTTATGTAGTACTAAAAAAAATTTGAGATTCAATCAATTTTTTTTGTCTTTAAAAATATTCTATTGACTATTGCTAATTACTATAAATTATTGTACTTTGTAAGTAATTTTAAATAATATATATTATTTATTTGTCCAATTTATGTGTCACCGATAAAATTTGAAGAGTTAATCAGATCTTTTACATATTTTTATATCTTTTGAATATTTAAGTAAATAATTGTTGTGATTTATAATATTTTATACAATTATTTAGTATAGTAAAATAAATTTAAAAGAAACAAAACAAAACGAATTCATCATAGGAAATTACCAAAGAATCCTTCAATACATCAATAATGGGGGACTTTTTGTTTTTAATAAATTGCACATTCGAAGGATATTTTTGTCCAAAGTGGAAATATTGTGTAAAAAATGTGTATTTATTGTGATTTTGAATGTTTTGTGGGGTAATAGGACGCACGCAAAGTTAAGGCGTCTTTTTGAAAATCCGGGACAACTTCAAGTATCACTTAATGTTTTTTCTCAAAATCTAATTATCACTTAATGTTTTTTCTCAAAATCTAATATAATTTCGTAAACTATGTGTCAGATCAAAATCAGATTAACAAATTCAAAAGGAATGAGTAATAAATAGCTCATACAATGACATATTTATTATTTTATTAAATACTAAATATGTAACTAAAAATCTTGTTAGCTTTTGGTTGAAAGCTAACAAGATAGTTGCAATCATAGTTGCATTGTGGTTTATTATATATAGAATATATATTGAATCGAGAAATAATTTAGACTTATATATATAAGTTATCTTTTTCAGACTTGACTTTATGAGATTATATTGAATATGTTGTTATTATGTATGAATTATATAGATCAATATTGTTGTCTACCCATTATTCTTACTATCCTTTCCTTCACACTATAACAAAAACAACTTTTAGTGGCAATAAATAAACATTAATAAAGAGTGCTAAAAATTTTACCGGGATTAGTTAAGTACTGTCATTAGATTCAATATCGCTAAAAGTTTTAGGGACATATACAAAGAGTGCTAATTGTCGCTAAAAATATATATTTAGTGACAATTAAGCTATTGTCATTAATTAATTGTTGCTAAAGATCATTTTTGATGCAATGATAAGATAGTTGTCACTCTTTCTTAAATTGATTGATTTTTAAAATTAAATTAATTTGAACTAATATAATTGTTTACAATTAAAATTTTGATATTCAAAAATGAACAAAGAGTATTATAAATTAGTATAATTTTTCTTATATTAATATGGTAAAAACATATTTTAAAACATTGATTAAAATTTAAGTAATTTGACTTTCGAAATATAAAATTTGAAAATTTCATTTTGGGATGGAGTCAGCAGGGGCGGACCCACATTGGACATTTCGGGTGCTCGAGCACCCATTAATTTCGTATCAGACTATATATAGTTATATAAAAATTTGAAAGAATGATATAAAACATAAACGTGAGCACCTAATACACAAATAGTCGTTTGGTTCAGTGGTCAATTGTGGGTGCTTAAGATTGGTTATTGCATCTGTGTCTATTGGGTTCGATTCTTACTTTAAGCATTTTTTTAAAACTATTTTGAATACCAGCTCTTCTATTGACCTTTTATTTTTCTCTCCTTGTGTTGATTGTTCTTTTTACACTTCCTCTGTTTCCTTTTGCTATTTTTTCATAATTTTTTTTTTTTAAAAATAAACTTTTTTGTTATTCAAAATAATGTTTATCATAGTTTTATTGTATTAATATTTTTTGCTACTGTGTTTTAATTTATTGTCTATTTTATGATAAGTCATAGATTTGTTTACTTATATATTGTAACGATAGTCAGGGATCATCCACGACATTAAAATTCTGGATCCGCCACTGATTGAGACATGGAGTGAGTATTCCGATGGACTCTGTCGGTTAATTAATTTAAAAAAGATACACATAAATTTCTAAATTCTTATTATCTTAAACTAAAAATAAAATTATAATTAAATTATTTCGTATTACATTCTTTTTAAGACAGAATAAACAAATTAAGAACCAAGGAAAAAAGTTGAATTTCTTGAAATAATAGATAGTCACAACAATATTAATTATTTTCAACCAGTCTTAGGAGGTGGAGCTGGTCTTTTGCTTGGAGGTTTTGAAACTTTTGCTCTTGCTCCATTTGGAAGTTCAAAATTATCATCATCATTCTCTTCTTCTTCTTGTCCAATATCATCACTTGGTGGTATATTTGTTGGTTGTTCTTGATTTTGTGTATTATTTCCATCTTCATTTACTACTATATGTTCTTGATCTTGTACATCACTTTTTGGCTCAGCTTGGTCTTCTTTTGGCACATGTATTATTATTAGTCCCAAGTCATCTCCTAGTGGTAGATTTCTTGCTTGCCCTTGGTCATTTTCTGGCAAGATTGAACATACTTATATATATCAAAATTATTTCAAGAAAATCATGGAAACATTATACAAATGTGTTGTCCCTAATAGTTTAAGCCCATATATAAAGAATATATTAAAAGTTATGCTATTTTAGCCCAACAATTAATATCAACGACAATAATATGGTGAAATGAGTATATGTAGATAGCATGAGACTCAACTTATTGCCTATGTCTATTTTAAGGGTCAGTTTACTATTTTAACCCGTAGCTTGAAAATACACACATATGATAGTTTTTTTTTTTTTAAAAAAAATGAGTCTCGCTTTATGAAAATTAAGAAAGAGAGTCAAAGTACAAAATACGATAAATTATTCATCTAAGAAATAAGTTAAAGAGCCGTTATATATGTAGCATCTGAGAAGAAGAAAACAGACATGCACACAAAAAGACTTGCTAGACATAATAGTTTTTAACTACTCTTACCATTAGAAGCAAGGTTTTTCAATATATCTTGATCCTTGTTCTTCGTATCTTTGATGAAATTGGCCATCTTGCTTTTTTCCCCTTGCTATTATCTCCCTTAATTAGATAAAATAAGCTTTGTAAGAGATTATAAATGTTGAAAGGTTCAATAGACACTTTTTCCTTAAAATATAATATATAGTTGGAGAATTATACAAGTGGATTAGTTAGTAAATCATTATTCTTTATATAATTAGCGTTCACACGAGTCTTTCTATATTTCATATGTACAAGTCTGAAATGAGAGTAATATTTAGATTTTCAATTGTACCATATTCATGTGTGAACGTAGATCTTTTTACTACCAATTTGATACAATTTTGACTAATTTATATTGGTCTATTCAACTATCATAAGAAGTCAACATGTTTTGGGTAGACTTGATACGAAGGAAAATGTTTTTTTTTTTAAAAAAATATATTAGAATAAGCTGATTTCTTACTTTTTTTTAAAATAAGTTGATTTTATTTTGTGTGTTTAGTACCTAAGAATATTACTTTCTCTTTTAAATTTGTTTGTCCTATTTTTCAGAGTTTTTTTTTTTAATGCTAGGATTTCAATTAATTGGAGTGATTTAAGATACATAAGGCTAATTCTATATGTGTTATTCGTTTATGCTCGTTCATGTATATTTAATTTGAACTCATTAACTCCTATGAGTTATTCGTTTATACTCATAATCATTTGATTTTCATGAGCTATATGTTTATGGATGAAAAGTATGCATTATTTATAAAACATTTTTATGATTTTTCCTTCAAAGAAGATTTTTTATGATTTCTTTCAAGGAACTTGCATATAAAAGAGACACCTATATGATTTAAGTCAAGACTTTACATTATGATTTATGAATTATAATTTGAGCTAAGATTCCTCAATATGATTTATGAACTATAATTTGAGTTAAGGCTCCTCAGTATTAGACATAAATAGAGCCGTCAAAACAGGCTTATAGCCCATGGGGCTGACCCAACCCAGCTTGTTATTGGGGTAAGGTTGAGATATGATTTTTCAAGCTCATTTAAAACTAAGACTTATAAGCTCGGTCCATATAAGCCCTTTGTCCTTGAGGCTTGATCGGGGTCGACCCATGGGACAAAACTTTTTATTTAAGGGTAACTTACAATAATCTCACTAGTATATAATGTAGGGTAAATTACATAAATCCCATAGTTTTAATATGAAATTACAATCTATCCCTAATAAGTTTCTAATTACATTAATCCCTTAAAAAAACCGGATACAATAATTGAAACTCGGATACATTAATATGTAGCTTGGATACATTACATACTGTCTCGGATACATAATATGTAGCTCGAATACATTAAATACTGGCTCTGATACATTAATATGTAGCTCGGATACATTAAATACTGGCTCGAATACATAATATGTAGCTCGGATACATTAAATATTGGCTCGAATACATTAAAGAAATAAGGGATTTTAAAAAGTAATAGGGGATAATGGATATAAGTGAAACAAAAGGTGTGTATTTCTATAATTTGTCCTATAATGTAATTACTTAAATACATGTTATGTTGTAATATTATGAATCTTAACATATTTTAGTACGTCCAGATACATGTATCTCGGAATAAATGGATTCAAAATTAGGTTAATTTATTCTAGATAAACTATATCCAAGTAGATTCGCATGTATCTATGATACATAGACAAATCTCGCACCCTTGCCTCCCTCCCATCTTTCTTGTCACTCTCTTATCTCGCTAGCGTATCTGATATGCGAGATACAGACTAATTACACTAGATTTTTTACTAGTGTTATTGAAACAACACCATTGTTTGTCATATTTGATTTGATAATCTTCTCATTTTCTTGATGTTATAGAATTATAAGTTTGAAAAGAAAAAAAAAAGGGCTTGCCCACCCCTTCCCTCAGCCTTCTAGGGTTGGGTTGGGTTGAACATTTTCAATTTCAGGCCCTTCCAAACAGGGGCGATTTTAAGCTTAAAAAATGGGTCACCTGAACCCGTGGTCATCCGACAAAACTCGATGTATTACTTGTATAATTTTTAAAATATATCAAATAGCAACTGAAGGAACCCATGAACATAAACAACTAGATGGTTCACTGGTTTGAGTGTCAGTTTTCCACTTTGAAGTTGAGGGATCGGTTCCCAGATGCTGCATTTTCACTGCTAGCAGCCTTTTTTAAACTTCTTCTAATGACTTTTTCTTATAATAAAATTTATTTATTTTGCAAATGTATTTAATATTTTTCTTATTTTTCTTATGAAAAACCTATATTTATTATTGCTAAAATAAATAAGGTCAAGCCGCCCCTGACAATGATGCACCAGTCTTCTTGAAATTCTAGATTTGCCTCCGCTTTCAAATGAAGGGCCGGCCCGCCCTAGCCCTTCAAATTCCTTAGGCCGCGAGGTTTGGACCGGATAGGGCTGGGCTGACCCTTTTTGACAGCTCTAGACATAAACTATGGTTTAAGCCAAAATCTCATTGCATGCATGATGCTTATAAAACTTATGATTTCAATTCATGCTCTATGAACCAAGAGAGTATGAGTATGAATGCCCGAAAACTACACTTGCTGGCGTAGGATAAGAAACATTCTGTTACTCTGGGAGACTCCTTCATGTATCCCTATATACATGATATACAAATAGATCTTGAATCTTGTTCTTTGTACATGTGAAGAAATTAGCCATCTTTCTTTCTTTAATTTCTTGGTATTTTTTCCAAGCACCAAAGGATCAAAATGAGTTTTATAGCCCTAGACATCTCGTCTAACGGATTAAAAAAAAAAATCTTTACATGGAGATTAAGAATTAAAAGGTTCAATAATAACCTTTTATTAAAACAAACCTTTTTTTTTCTTTTTCTTTTTTTATGAAGAACATAACTTTATTGATAAATATTGCGGGTACAATTTTATTCCCCCCTTGATTCTTCTCTCATAAGATTTATCCATGATTCAAGGGTCGTTAGTGGCATATTTCTCAAACTTGGATGATTTGAACTTGATTTTCATAATTTGAGGGTCGTGACGTATTTCTCAAACTAAGATGATTTGGATTTGATCTTCATAATTTGAGAGCTGTTAGTGGCATATTTCTCGAATTATGATGATTTGGATTTGATCTCTTTATGAATATTTCATGAATTTGTGGTGGAATTTCGAGATAAACAGACCTTGAGAACCATATGAGAAATTATTAATTTCTAGTCATTATACCTACTAGCTACTCGTTGATATAATATTCACGTAATAATGGTATCTCTTTCCAATTGGAAATATTCACAAATAGTTGTATATATGTGTATAAACAAAGTCACACATCGATTACTAATTGATAAAAGGGTGTAATTATACAAATAAATGTTGCACAAATAAATTGTTCTTTTTTAAAACAGATTAAGAATTACAATCTTAAATAATATCATAACATTAATTATTTTCGACATAGAAAACAATAGAGTTTTTTGAAATAATAATCACAACATTAATTATTATCGACTAGTCTGAGGTGGAGGAGGTGGTCTTTGGCCTGGAGGTCTTGAAACAATTGCTTCATGATTCTCTTCTCCTTCTGCATTTTTTTTTTGGTACATCACAATCATATTATTATTTCAAAAAAAATAATGTTAAAAACGTAATAATTAAACGAATAAAAAATGTGCTATCTCTAAGTAATCTTACCTTTAGAAGATTTTCCACAAGAAACAATGTATACAAACAAATCTTGAATCTTCTTCTTTATATCTATGAAGAAATTAGCCATTTTTTTTTCTTTTTTCTTAGCTATTATCTCTCATGGATCAAATGGGATTTATAAGAGAATAATGTTGAAAGGTTCAATATTAATTACTATACTTTTTTATTTAAATTATAATCTAGTTGAGAACGTTACAAGTTGTTAGTTTGTAAATCATTACTCCCCCTGTCTCAATTTATATGATACTTTTCGTTTTTCGAAAGTCAAACAATTTAAGTTTGATCAGAAATTTACGCACGGAATCTTCAATTTTTTTAAATGAAATTTATATAGTTATAAACTACGTAAAAAGTACTATAAGTTACATTAATTGATAATTCAAAATATTTAAAAGATCTATGAAAAACTTAAGGTCAAATATAGATTTGTTTGAATCTCGAAATTCAAAAAGTGTCAAATAAAATGAGACGGAGGAAGCAATATTTATTATTTGTATATACAAGGGGCCTATTTATCTTTCCTATGTACAAGTTGGAATTGAAGATAATTTTTATATTTTAAATTGTATAAAATTCATGTGTGAACGTAGACATATTCTTGAGTACTACCAATTTGATACGATTTGACATATTTTATATTCAACTATATTACAAGAGGGAATAAACACACGTCTGGTCAACATGTCATGTTTGACGTATAAGAAGGTATTATAGGGTGTTTTAGGTACTGCGAAAAGTATTTTTTATGAAAAATATTTTTAAAAATAAGTTAGTTTCTTATTTATTTACTTATGTTTAAAAATATTTTTAAAAATAAGTTAGTTTGATTAATAAGTAAAAATATTATCCTAAAAGAATTTATATATAATCTAGACAAATATTATTGGAGGTTGATGTTAGGTAGGGGTTTGGGGTGGAGGGGATGGAGGTTACTGCCGGGATAGAGGTGAAGTCACTCTCAATTACAAGTAGTTTTTTGTATATAGATCAATGAGACTTTTCTTTTGTTTTCTTCCTCTTTTTTCAAATTCATATTAATTATATTCGTTGTTATGGCTTCTGACTGAACATTTTCATTATAAAATAACAATACAAACTTGTGAGTATAAATCATTTTTTTTTAAAAGTCAAATATTTCTCCTAAAATCTATGGCCAAACGCATGGTGAATTACTTACCCAAAATGACTTGTCAAAAAAATTTGGTAATTTATAACCAACCGTAATGAGGTGTGTTGAAAGATGAAGAACACGTAATCAAATGTAATATATCACTTATAAAACTTGTTTCCCTACTTCTCTAAGAAAATCATTTTCGTCATATTTAAGGTACTCGTGATTTCTAGAAATAATATTTTTCATAATTTTGTCAACCGAACATGGAGAACTTGGAAAATAATTTATAGAACACACCCTGAATAGGTTTTTGGCTATATGATTTCGGATTCCAATTTCAGATTTGATTTCAAATTTGTTTATGAAATCTGGGGGAAAAAAATCAATATTAAATTTCAAATTTTTATTTCAACTCTTTTTTAAGTGTAAAACCTGACCCATAAATTTATATAAAAACTCATTTTTAAAATTTTAATTGAACAACTTTTAAATAAAAATTGGGCAAATAGAATTTAATTGAATCCACGGACATCCCTCAGTTAGAATTGATGAAGTTTGTCCGTTCACTAAATTCGATCACATCAATTTTGTATCAATTCTAATAAAAAAAATTGAGATCAATTGTCAATTTTTACCCTCGATTTTTTACTTGTTTTTAATAGTGGAAGGTGGACCTATAAACATTAAGAAGAAGTATGACTAACCAAGATTAAAATTTAAGAAAATGATAGGAATTTTTAAACCTTCTAATTTGAACTAAAGAATTTTAAAATTAAATTATTTCTTATGACATTCTTTTTAAAACAGATTAACCATTACAATAACCAAGAAGAATTAACCATTACAAATTACAATATTAAAAATGAGAAGAACAAACCAAAAAAAAAAAACCTAGAAAACAACTAGGTTTCTTGAAATAATTAGCACAATATTGGAATTCCCAAAGACTTAATTAATTAATTAGTTTCAACCCGTCTTAGGTTTAGGAGCTGATCTTTTTCCTGGAGGTGTTGAAAAATTTGCTCTTTCCTCATCATTAGCATTCATCTCCTCCTCTTCTTCTTGGCCTTGTTGAGCAATAATATTTTCTTTTTCTTGATTTTGTGTACTATTTTCTGGTTGTGTTTCTACTACTTGGTCATTTTTTGATGGTTCTGAAAAAATTGAACACATAAATTAAGAAAATGTTATGTTGATGATGTAATTAATTATTAAATAAATAAAAGTGCGTTATCTTTAGCCATTCAAACTTTTTGATGATATCATGAAAGTATGACATAAGATAAAAATAATATATGAAATGACCATATACTTCAATATAATTTTAAAACAATAGCATAAAAAGAGCTTGTTGACGATATACTAAAGTAAATACATTATATATGAGATGTTTCAGCGAAAAAATATTCACAATCTAAATCTTTTGATGAGATTGATCATTTCAACACAAAACAACACAATAGTGTCTCTATAATGAAAATTGAAGCCTAATCCCCCACACCTTAGGTCCACAACCTAGATGTTGGCTTTAAAAAAAATATTATATATATAAAGTGAACTCAGTCATTAGAAAATAATGTTTCTACCTGACATATTTAAGACTACGAAAAATAAGGTTTAGATATATTCAACTCTTACCATTAGAAGATTTTCCATCAGAAACAAGGCTTATGGATGGATCTTTATTCTTGTTCTTTGTATTTGTATCTTCAATGAACTCAGCCATCTTTTCTTTTCTCCTTAGCTATTATCTCCCTTATATCAAATGAGCTTTATATAAGAGATTAAGTATTGAAAGGTTCAATGCATACTTTCTATTTGAAATATGATATAGTTGGAGAATGATACAAGTTGTATAACAAGGGGGCCTATTATATAATTAGTCTTCATATTATTCCTATCTTTCCTATACAATATATTCATATGTGAACGTGGACTGTTTTGACTGTCAATTTGATATAATGATGACTAATTAATTTATTTTGTTATTTAAAATATAGAAAAAATTATCTAAATACACAACTTATTTTATTATAGTCTCTAAACTTTCCTATCATTTTAAAAAAAAATCAGAAATTCTCTCTCGGATACATCACTCCCCACTTGTTGATACATCCCTATCTCCCTCTCGAATACATCGCTCCCCTCTCTGATACATCCCTTTCCTCTCGAATACATCACTCCCCATGTCCTATCCTCTATCTGATACATCTCTCCCCTATGCATCTGAATGTTTGTTGATATATCCGGAAGTCCAGTGATATATCTAAAAGTTCAGTGATGTATTCAGAATCCATAAATTTTAAGGAATTTTTGTAATTTAAAATAAAATAAAATAATATAATTAGCTCTTAATACTATGAGATTTATGTAAATTATACTGAAATATAAGTTATAGTTGAAAACGTTACAAGTTGTTTGTTAGTAAATCATTATTTTATGCAAGGGGCCTATTTGATTCCTTCTTTTTGCTTCTATATGCGCAAGTTGAAAATGATGATAATTCCACAGTGGGCCTATTTGATTCCTTCTTTTAACTTTCTTATATGCGCAAGTTGGAAAGGAAGATATATTTTTTTTAATTGTATAAGATTCATGTGTGAACATAAATATATTCACTAACATGAGTTGTGGTATTGTAGTAAGACTATATCATCATTAATTAGAAATTTCAGATTTAAGTCATAAATATGGAATCTTATTGGAAGTGTTACCCCTTGAATGAACCTTGCAATACGTGATCTGAATTTAATTAAAACTTCAATACATGCTAACACCGAGTAAGAAACAAGAAGATAAAGAACATAATATATTCTTGAGTATTACCCATTTGATAAAGGTTGATCAATTAATTATGTTATTCTATTCAACTATCTTACTAGAGGGAATAAACACACGTCAGGTCAACACGTCTGCTTGACAATTTTGCCGCCTTGCTTAATACCAATTTTGCCAAATAGCAAATGAATTCGAGAACATTAATTCTGTTCAATATTTTCGTTTTTATTTAACTGGGAAATATTTGGGAATATGATCATTATGTATACACTTACATACTACATAATTTTTTGTCTCACATTAATGAACACTTATACAAAATTATGATCTAGAGTGTTGAAGAAATCTTAAGGATGCATATACCAATTTAGTGGTAGAGTCAGAATTTTTAATAAGAGGATTCAAAATCTGAGAAGTAAACACACGAATTAGTGGAAGAGAGTTTGACATCTGTTATACATATCTAAAAAATTAATTTTAACCATGTATAAATAGTACGAAAGAGGTTCGGATGAACGCCCTAAATATGTTGGTTCCGCCACTGTATACCATAATGTACTTTAATTTAGATAAGAATGGGTCAAAAATGTCTTTAAACTATGTGAAATAAACAAAAATGTCCTTTGTATATAGTTTGGTTAAAAAATATTCTTACTGTCAATATTTTGGTCCAAAAATGTCCTTATTATTACTTAATGGGTTAAAAATGTCTTTTTTCAAATAAACATTATTTATTTCCTTTTTAAACACATTCTTTTCCTAATAATATTTTTTTGTTAGAAAATGTTTATCCTACTTCAAATTAAAAAAAGATCATTTTATTATAATTTTGTTATCGTTATCTAAATGAAAATCAAAGATGAGTTTACTATTATCTAATATATATGACATATTTTATCCGTTAAAAGGGTACCTGAAGTTATTTATTTTAAGGGCAAACTACATAAATCCCACTAGTTTAGGTCCTAATTACTAAGATTCTCGATAGTTTCAAATATTACTTCCTCTACCATATTTTCATACTTAGGATACATGAGATTGAATCTGGAGATACATGTATGAGATACATATTTTATTTGTTTGAATTAATAGGTTGTAACCAATTTCCTTAATTAGAGGAGTAATTAAGGATATACATGAATAATTAATTCTGAAAATTTAAATTAATCAAATCGCTTATCATAAGGCGGAAATCAAGGAGTGTATCTATATTTAATTAATTTCAATTTATTATTTCAAAATTATCCTTTGAAATAATAAATTCATTATATTATTAGTAATAAACAAAAGCATGTATATCTTGGTCATGTAATTTGATTAATTTCATTTAGTACTCTTAAAATAATAAATTCGTTAATTTGATGTATCTATTATCTATATATGATGTATCCAACAAACTAAATACTTAGATACATGAGTATTATACAAGTACATTCATATGTATCATAGAAGTATCTAGTATTAATTTCGTGTATTTGTTATATGTGTCAAGTATTAATTTCATGTATCTATTTATATGATCTAGTTTTAATTTCACGTATCTAGTATTAATTTGATGTATCAAGTATCAATTTCACACATTATATTCAAAAACATGTATCTCGAATACATAGTAAGTATATACATGTGATTATGTGGATCTAAATATAAAATGCAACTGAAACACACAAATTTTAGGAACAAATCATGACCGCGAGATACATGTATCATTAAAAGTGAGATATGTGTATCCAACAGTATTAAAAATCGAGATACGTGCTATTAATTTGAATTAAAGGTGAGATACATGTATTCAACAATTTTAAAGGATCGTTCTTAAACTTAGATCTATTTTCGACCTGTTTTATGAATGGTCATTCATTAAAATTTGAGAAACAACAAAAGCTAGCAAACAATGTAAAACCTAATTTGTAAAAGTTTATAAAATCAAACTTTAGAGCAATATGAACTCTACAACTCATATATATTTAATAGAAAATACATATACATTTAATAAATAAACAAAATACATAGAATAAGGAGAAGAACGGTAGATATATAGATGAAAGGAAGATACATAAGACATTTGGATACACAAACATCAGACATATGGAAGAATGACATGTGCATAGGACATGTAGATACGCCTGGGATTCAAATATGAACCAAAATCGTTTTTGTTAGATATTATGAGGAGGACGAAGGAAGGGAGAAAAAATGGCAGAGGACGTGGGGTTTGGGGGGAGGAGATATATAGTTGGTGAAGGAGATTGAGGGAGGTTAATTGTTAATGTACCTTCTATTAAGGAGTTTAAATTTTAAGATAATTATTCAATATCATATCTGATTTAACTTTTAAAAATATATGATATAATTATTAAAAGGTGGTATTAAGAGTAATATTTTTAAACTATAGATAATATATGTATATATGGTAGTTAAGTATGTCTAATTATGTAGTTTTTCCTTATTTTAATGAGATAAGGCACAAGTACCCCCTAGACTATGAACGAAATCTCAAAGACACACCTTAACTAAACTAAGGTACTATTACCCCCCTGAACTTATATTTTTTGTAATTTTGTACACCTTTTGTCTTACGTGGCACACTCCGTGACTCCACGTAGTTAAGGCGCGTGGGAATCAAGGAGTGTGCCACGTAAGCCAAAAGGTGTAAGAAATTTTAAAAAAAATGAGTTAGGGGTAATAGGACCTTAGTTTAGTTAAGGTGTCTC